ATATATAATTTTGTAATTATATATTTTGGATATAATTTTTTTGGTAAGCTAAAAATGCAAAAAAGGAAATGAAAGTCAAACAAATTTTAAATTATGTTTCACAATTTGAATTCATATCAAGAATTAATATGAAGAGTTTTTTTTATAAATTTTTAGATTTAAATTATAAATTAAGTTACTACAAGGTGCAACTTTTGGTAAATAAAAAAAATATTGACTTATGATACAAAAATATACACAGGATGTCTTTGTATGCAGTAACTTCAAAAAAAAACTTTGAGCAGGTGTTTAAATAAAAATGTACATGTTTCTTTGCAAGAAAATCCTACAACAAAATTTATATAATTTTTTAATTTACAAATATCCAACTGAAAGAATTCAATTACTACAACAAACAAGAATGATTGATTCAAAAATAATAAACAAACAGAAATTCCTCTACAATTTTTGTTTATAAATATTCGAAATTTTTTACTCTTGTGGGAAATCGTTATGAAATTATCAAAACTTGTTTAACAAAACATTAATGAGTGAATTTAATAATATTGACAAAATCGAATTGAGTTTTGAATAACTTGCAGGAATTTGCGTCATAGTTTGTGGACTAGAAATAAATCGCATTTAGTAGAGAAAGATGGATAGAAATTGTATTTATACGATGTTTATATTTATACAATGGAGTAATTTCTTAAAATAAAATTTAGATTTTATACACTATGTTGACAGATGAATATACTTGAGAAGAAAGACGACAGAGATTTGTATTTTTTTAGGATTTTTGACTCAAATCTCAAAAGTAAAAGTAGGAAGGATTATTGAAAAAATGGCGTTGAAAATTTTAAACTAGTGGTGCATCAATTGGTGGAATAAAAATGATCAATGATTTTAATAATTATTTTGAATTTTGCTATTTTTTATTTGTATCTCTGAAGACGACTGGCTTTACCCAAAACTTTCACATAAATAGGAATTTAATGGTTTTTGAATTATTCAAATAGGTTAATCCGTGCTCCCGAAATCGTCGACGAAAAATTGTATCCGCACATACATATACATACACAAATTCATTTTATCTAAGGTATTAGGGGGTTCAGAAATCTTTGAAACGTGAAAATATACATTAATTTTGTTTTTGCTTGATTTTTTTGCAATTATTATAACTTATCCTGTGGGAAGTTAATAATATACAAGTCTACCATTATTTTTCAAAATAAAATGTATAATTTACTTAAAAAATACCGATTTGAAGAAAATTACATTATTAGAGTTGTTAAGTAAATTAGAACGAAATCATTAAAATGTGTTACAAATACAGGATAAAAAAATGTAAGGAAAACCAGTATTCCTATTTTTTTTTGTGTTTAGAAATATGATTTAAAGATTTTCTGTTATTCTAGTTAGTTATTAATTTCTGGACAAATTACTTGAGAAGAAAGACGACAAAGATATGTATTTTTTTTTTAATTTTCGCTTATCTCAAAGGTAAAAGTAGGAAGAATTATTAAAAATATGATGAGATATTTTAAACTAGTGGTGTATGGCATTGTGCCCTAAGGTAAATTGCTGGAACAAAAATAATCAATCAAAATTGATCAATGATTAACAATAATTGTTTTAATTTTTTTTATTTACATTTGTGAATTACAATCTGTCGTTCTTATGCAACATTCAGTAATTTTGATGGTTTTAATAAACCAAAATAAAGGAAAAAAGGTCAAAAGGTCACCCATTGATGATCGATATCCATGTTGGATAATTGTTTTAAATATTGCTATTTTTTCTTTGTATCTCCGAAACGACTGGACCTGCCTTTCCCAAAAACTAATCAGCAAGTCTCCCTATCAATAGGAATTTAATAGTTTCTGAATCATTCAAATCGGTTGATCCGTGCTCCCGAAATCGTTGACGAAAAATTGTATCCGCACATACATACACACACAACCATTTTATCTAATATGCCAGGATGTTAAGAAGGTTTTGAAACGTAAGAATATATATAAAAAAAATCATTTTTGATTTCTTTTTGCAATTACTGTAATTTGCCCTACGAGAAATTTATAAAATACATGATTGCCATAATTTATAAAATAAAAAGTATAATTTATACATAATGTTGAAAGACAAAAATACTGATTTTAATAAAATCACATTCTTAGATTTATTCAAAGAAAAACAGGACGAAATAATTGAAATGAGTTAAAAATGCAGGATATAAAAAATTGTAAGATAACATTTTTCCTAACAATTTTAAAGTTTAAAAATATGATATAAATATTTTCTGTTATATATTATTCTAGTTAGTTATTAATTTCTGGAGAGTTAAAACAATAATTCTATTGCATAAAAATTGAAGAAACTTTAATTGTACTAAATTTTTGGAACTTGTAATGTATTTGTCTACAAAGTCAATAATAATAATAAAAAAAAATTGGAACTAGAACATTCTTCGTAGGCCTATAATATTTTGGGGAGTACATTTAGACAAATTTCGTTAATTAGGAAGAAAAGGACCAGCTGATTTCTGTCAAAAACTAATCAAAACGATTCCTAATATCTTTAAATATCATTAAATAACTTTAAATATTATCAATAGGATTTCAGGACTTTCTCAATGAAATTTTTGAACTTTTTCATTATAAAGAAATGACTAGGCTCAAAATTTACCCATATGAATTCTCATGGGGTTACATCAAATAAAATTAAAAATTTTGATATCAGTGCAGGCGTTTTCGAAAAAACGTCGACGCAAAAGACAAATTAGAGGGACTTGAAACAAATTGGCGAGAATATGAACTTCGGGAAGTTAAAAGTATATGTTATTTGTACATACAGGAACAGTTATATTCATAATATATAGATTTTACTCCTTATTCAAAGTGTATTTATGATTTTGGCTGTGTATAAATTCGCAAGTCTATATATAATTTGAGTGTAACCGTCCCCGTAATCATTCAATTGACAATATCGCCCAAGTTCCATAAATACACCCTGGAGACCCAAAAATAGCATCAAATCAAATTACTCACATATATCAATCCGGAATAATATCTGTCCTTTATATTATGCAAAACGGACGCCTCGTTCAGACAAGTCAATTCTGCCATATCCTCGACTTTGTCGAATTTCGGCGGATTCATCTTTTGAATGTCATCCTTGTTAACCAACTGTCTTTTGCCAGTTTCGGCGATTTCGACCTCGACTTCGTCGCCCTTTTCGGCCTTGATGCCGGCGGCGACGAAGCCCTGGCTGTCGTGGGGCACCCAGACAAGCCTCTTCTGGGTCCATTCCGCCTGCGTCGCCGGATCATTGAAACTGTTCCTGTCGACTGAGAGGAACTTTAAGTCAGGATCGTAACGATCTCTCAGCTCGTCCGCTGCCATTTTGTGTGGGTAAGTGACTTTACTGTCCGTTCGTTATATTTCACACGAATAAAGCATGTATACGTATGTAAATTATTTAGAGATACATATATTTCAAATATACTATCTATCACGGCACACGGTAAACACTCAACAGTACGTTTTTTTGTAACACTTTTTTTGGGTTATGTATGTACGATAACACGGTTCTTACTATGGTAGGTAATTCAATAAATACGCGCACATTTGGATGAATTTATAATTGATTTGTTGAACTGTGAATTTTTACTAATTGAAATGTAATAAAAATGTTATTCGTAATAGTTTCGTGAGCCGCAATTTCGACATGCAGGCGCGGCGGTTAAACAATATGTGACTGAAATTAATTGTAATGGCGTATGCGGCGTCTGACAGTTCGAGACGGACGTGAAGTTAGAAGCGCATCGGCGGCGTGTCGGACGAGCCGACGCCCTCGGCGGCAAAAAACGTTACATTCAAATGGTAAAGGACACGTTGTAAATGAAAAATTACACATACTGCTATATTAGTCGATTTTATTATTACTACGTTTAGTATTAAGACACTTTGTGTGAGTATGTAGATTATAAAATGTTATTTAAAGCAAATAATATAACTTATAATACACTTTTAAAGCAATTTCGAGCCTTAAGTAACTTAAAAAATATGGTAACTTCACAATCATTAAGTATAATTAATATATACTTTGTACATATGAACAAAATAAGTTTCAAAATCCAACTAAATCACAGATTCTATAAAACTATACATTAAGGCACAGTTTTACATACTCTTGTTTTTATGACAATTGAATAAAATGATTAAACACACAAAAAAGCAAAGGACATTCATTAATTGTTATAGAAATTAGTAAAATTCTCATTTGTTCATTCATAATAATAAATTGTACAATGATTAAAAATAATTTATGCATCTCTAAGCTGACGAATGTCCCAATAAAATTAACATATTTATACAAAGATAAAAACTAACCAGTAGTGAACACAATCAAAAACATATACACCCGTACCTTGGATTCATCAGACTAATTAATGTTATTTTAATTGAACACATATGATACAATACATATGTAAGAAAATTTTATATAATGTTTGTTTTTCAAAAGTTCACTTTGTTCAATTTTCATCTTATAAAGTAGTGTTAACTAAATTCTTTTGCGTCAAGTTATTTTTGTGAGGTACGGGTGCACACATAAATATAAGTACATGTAAGCATGCATTAAATTAATGTACTTTGTTTATGATTATAAATAACTTATTGTTGTGCATAATCGATAAATGACTTGTTTACAAATAGAATTATAAAAAAAATTGCTTAAAAACTAATATAATTTGTACATTTTATGTTTGTGTTAAAATAATGCATTATATGTGAAATTTGAGATGGAAGAAAATTCTCACAGGAGAAAATTCATGAATATATATATATATATATATATATATATATATATATATATATATATATATATATATATATATACGAAGCAAGACATTTGCTTCATTAAAATTCATGAATTTAACTCCAATAATGAATATCTATATTACATACAATGAGCAAGACAATGTTGATTACAAATAATCAATAACCCATTATCTTACCCATAATATAATTCCTTAAAACTACCTATACTTAATATTTACATGACCGTTTGAAATCTAATCATCGACTCCTAAACTTTTCCATTTCATCCTTCGTTATGGGTGTCCCGTGTACCCTAAATCTGTACAAACATGAAAATACTGGATTGCCATGATTAGATTCAACTCTGAGTTCAACAATATTAAAATACTGCTGATTTGTTTCATCCGATTTGACTTGGAAATATTGTAAACTCGGCCCGTCGTACTCGTACTCGAAGTAGCCGAAGAGAGAGGGATTTTGATCTTGTTCTTCTTTCAAACCCTGAGAAGAAAAATAATACAGTTGATACACTATCAGGTCAAAAAATTGTTATTGAATAATTCCATTATTATTAGGTTTTTTTTTATCTTACCCAAACTGAAAAGTTCCTCGGTGCAGAATCAATATTTCCATTAGCAACCAATTCTTTAGGAACATGTTCCATTGTAAAACCAGTTACTTGTATTGGCAAACTCAATTGCAGAACTACAAGACAATAATAACATTTTTACAATACTTGCTACACTGTATTACCCTATATTTATTAAAATAAAAACCTAAATATCCAGGGAAGGACTGGAACGCCCAGCATTGTCCAGGATGAGTCCCTGGCGTTATAGCTGTCCTCGGTGAGTTACTTGAATACCACAATGGTATGTTGAACCAGGTATACTGGGCTGTCCTTGAGCTATAGGTTTCTGTACAACGTGTTGTTAAAACCTGACCAAAGATAAAGCAATTAGTGATAAAACTACAGTTTATTTTAGAGTTTTTGTTACCTGTCCGCCTCCACTTTCTAAAGCATAATCAACCAGGCCGGTTTTGTCAGCATCATATTTGGCCAGAGCTTTTCGAACAATTTCCTGGACATCAAAACCACTTAGATCTATACTTGACTGTGAAACGGAGCCTCTGATGGAATTTATGTTTATTTGTGACATCGTTCTTTAGATCTGCATGCATTTTCTGCTGTTTCTCATCATACCTAAAAAATATTTATATATATATATATATATATATATTATTATTACCACTAATTAATTTACCTCAAAATAGCCAATTTAATACTGTCTCCAATATGTTTCATAAGTACAGCAGCACTGGCATCCATCGTACTCTGCGAATCAACTTTCACATTATTCCTGAGTTCGTTCAACTTATTCTCCAAAACATCCTTAGCCAAAAACGCTTCGTTAATCCAAGCCTTAAAACTCACTGAATTATTGTTAACATCATACCCCAGAATATCAGAAAGTAATTTTTTAAACTCGATATTCAAACTACTCAGTTTCTCTTTAAACTCGACACGAACTTTAGCCAAGTCATCCTTCAAATTTATCTGCTGTTCTTTTAATATGTTAACAGTATTTTGTAATTTAACAATATCAGTTTCCTGGTTCATATTTTTAAGGCGTTCTATTTCTAAATTATTAGCACGTATTTGCTTTTCTAAATCGAACAAAACCTTTTGCTGGTTTACTAAATAATCTTTGTCTACATTTAGGCCACTTTGTGTAATAAAATTCTGCAACAAGGGGTGCTGAATGAGATCTTGAATGAGAATAGATATATCAAAATTGTTTGAATCTAGTTTCATAGTGCCTGATTGTAAAGCGTTTTTGATTTCCTTGAAATGTGCAGGAGTTAAAACTAATTTTTGTGGATATTCATTTAATTTTTCGCGCACCAAACCGGCAACTTTTGTAATAAAGTTCGAGTCGTAAACAGGATTTTGGTGTAATTGAAATTCGTTCTTGATGGTATCGGATATTATTTTTAAATTTGGCTGAGAGACTAAGGAATCTTTAACATAAGCTGCACTGTTATCTTTTAAATATCTATCGACGTACATATCTATCCTGTGGTACAAATCGCGATCTGAAATTCCTGACCCCAAATTTTCAAAATGACTAGATTTGACTTGATCGTTTCGACTCCAAATACCAGCAACTACGCTTATAAAATACAATAAATAATCATAGCAACTAGAAATTATATAAAAAATACTCTCTGTTAAACTACTATAAATGGCACTTGCAAATTGTAACGACCGGGAAACTAAATCCAAGGCACAATTTGAAAAATATGAACACAAATTTAAAAATGACGCTCCTGGGGAACTCAGGACTTCTAGAGTTGTATCTGCAGCATTTTGCAAATAATTGTAACTTCTTTCGGGCAAGGATTGGAGGAGGTTTAAGGCTTCTTCACTTTTCACCGAAAGATCTTCTAGTGAGTGCAGGTAAAGCCAAAGTGCTGAAAAATAAAAAAATATATATAAAAAATACTATATATATATATATATATACATATATATATATACATATATAATATATATATATATATATATATATATATTAGAGTGGTCCTTAATATGGACATTTTCGAATTTCCTCCTTGCTCCCAAGGGCTCAAATGGTTCCAAATTGATAAAAAAATTCTCTGAAAGTTTCAGCTCTTAATATTAACTTTTAATATGAAAATAGCATGAAAAATTTTTTGAAAATTAAAAAAAAAATTTAGGTATAACTTAGCGATAATGAATTAAAAGTGAAAAATTCGTGTCATTTTTTATTGAAAATTCGACGCTTTGCATAATTTTTCATTCTATTTCCATACAAAACTTTGATTGAATTGCGCACTATCGAAAAGTTAATATTAAGAGCTTAAAACTTTCAGAGAATTGTTTTTTATCAATTTGGAACCGTATGAGCCCTTGGGAGCAAAGTAATTCAAAAATGTCCATATTAAGGACCACCCTAATATATATATATATATATATATATATATATATATATTTGTAATATTTTTGCAGCCCAATCGTCGAATTAAAAAAAGATTAAATAACAAAATTATTTATTCCATTAAACGTTTCGACACTTGATGTGTGTCATCATTCAGTAATCTACAAAACATTATATAAATACAAAGTTGATAACAAATATATGAAAAGAAACAAATTATATATAGAAAAAATTAATTGTGATGTAAAATTGATTGAACACTAAAATTGTTTAAAATAATAATAACTATTATATTAACAAACGAGAAATTAAAGGAGCACATAGCGGTACATTATGAACACTGATCAAGGTTACAAAGCAAGTGTAGTGATGGATATAATAGTTATTATTATTTTACACAAAATTAGTGTTCAATCAATTTTACATCATAATTAATTTTTTCTGTTTTTCCTGGTTTGGTATGTATAATTAGCTCCTTTTTATATATTTATATTTATTATCAACTTTGTATTTATATAATATGTTTTTTAGATTACTAAAAGATGACACACATCAAGTGTCGAAACGTTTAATGGAATAAATAATTTTGTTATTTAATCTTTTTTTAATTCGACGATTGGGCTGCAAAAATATTACAAATATGTATCAACGTCGACAAAACTATCATATATATATATATATATATATATAAAGCGAGAGGTTTTTCTTCAGATGGTGAAATAATATAATAAAATTGTTTCTTGGGCATCCATCCAGTAATTAACGCTCATAACCAATACTACACTGAAGTTACAAATCCAAGATTTTGATCATTTTCAAGAACTTTTACAAGTGTTTTTTAATCTTAACAACATGAATTTTCAAAATAACCATAATTTCAATACTATATATGTGAATAGTGCTCTCCATACAAATAAGGTAAGACATAATAATCGTTCCTCTTATCAATATCCAACTTACACACAGAATTATAATAATTTTAATAATTCGTCAGTTTACCGTTACAACAATTATTTTCATAATAGTTTTACACAATGCATTCCTTACTCTTTTCCATCTTTTTTCGAGTACATTTTCCATTGTTATGGACTACCAAACTCATTTTATTTAAAACTATTTCAAACCTTTTCTCAAAACTGGCTATCGTCACCAACAAAAGAACTTTTTTACTTCGTTGTCGTAAGAAAAACTCCTACCAAAATCCTTTGATTTCAAATTAACAAACTTTGATCATCTAAATTCCAATTACTTTAAAATAAAAAGCTTTCTTTCTCCTTTATGTTGCTGAATCTAGAAATCAAACATTGCATTACCTCTATTGATAACATAAATAAATCTCTAAATTACAACATCCAATCCTTATTTTCCACTATTAATAATCACATTGACATTAACAATTTTTTAGATTTCGAAAACTCTAGATTCAATAATTCTTTTAATATGTCAAAAAAATCCTTCATTAAAAAATTCAATACCCTTTATTCGAAAAAGTCTAACGAATCCAAATTAAATATAAACCCTGATATCATCAATAAATGGGTTAAAAACATTTCAGATTTAGACATCCATCCAATGTTTTGAATATTTTAGCATTAGGTCCCAATTTTCCATTCCACAACAGAAAAAATCGTTTAATTTTGTCAAACACTTAGCTCTTTAGAATATAGTTTACGTAATTTAAAGATATCAATGAAAAAAACCGCATTAAATCTATTTTTGCAACCAACTTATTCATTTTCAAATTTGACATTTCTAACTTTCATCAACATAAAGAATTACTCAAAGATATCCACCTTTGCAAATCCTTTATCAAACAACACCCAGAAATGTTGTTACCAGGGCAGATAAGGGTAACATGACGGTTATCATGAACAAAGATGACTATATTTCCAAATCCGTGTCCCTCCTAGCTGATAAAACACTTACGAGCCTATAAATTCAGATCCCACCGACCTTATAAATCGGAATACTTTGAAATTCATTGATTCACTCATAGAAAACAAACAAATTCCCAAACCTCTCTCTCTACAATTAAAACTTACAATCCCATTTCCCCAAAACTTTATTGTCTTCCCAAAATCCACAAAGATGGCATTCCCCTTCGACCAATAGTTGCTGACTTAAATTCCCTCTTTGCAAATTATCCAAATTTATTAGTTCAATTTTGTCCAATATCACTCATAATTCTCCCCATTTTGTCAAAAATTCTTTTGAACTCATTCCCGAACTTAACTCCCTCATGTACCATCTGATCTTTCCTTTATAAGTTTAGATGTTGTTTCCCTCTTCACTAACATTTCACCTGACCTTATCCTCTCTGCCATAGACCATAAATGGGCTGATATCAGCAAACACACAGATTTCAATTTTCTTGGTTCCTGAAATGTATTAAATTCATTATTTCCAATACTTATTTTTCGTTCAACGACTCCTTTTTAAACAAAAATTTGGCACCCCAATGGGTTCCAGTTTGAGTGCCCCTCTTGCTGAACTTTGTATGCAGTTCCTAGAGAACTCTACTCTTAATACCTTGTCATATGTACTCTTTTTTACAAACGTACGTTGACGACATTTTAACTTGCATTTCTTCATACTTTTAACGATTTTAATTCCTATAATTTAATTCTAACTTTTAATACCTTTCTTTTAATTTTGACTCACACCTTAGTTTTACCTTAGAGACTCAATTTAACAACTCCATTAATTTTTTAGATATTACTCTTTTCATAAATAACAACTCTATCACTACATGTGGTATCAAAAATCCACTTGGTCTGGACGCTATTTAAACTACCATTCCTATCACCCCAAATCTACCAAGATTGCATCCATCATCAACTTACTAGATCATGCCATCCTTCTTTCTCATCCATCACATTGGGAAAAAAATATTAATTTGATATATTCTACCTTCAAAATAATTCCTATCCACTACAACTTTTACGCTCAGTAATAAATAATAGATTACCCTTTCTTCGTAATAAATTCCGTACAGCTTCCTTATTTACCTCCCAATCACAACAAAATAGTATCATTTCACAAAACCTTGTGAAGCCTCCTGAAAATTCACTATCTCTCAATTCCTTCATCTCATTACCGTACATTGACTGCCTTTTCCACTCATGGAAAAAACTTTTTTCATCCGTTGGTCTGAAGCTAGTATGTTCGACTGGACACACTCTCTCAGACTTATACACTAATTTAAAAACTCCTACCCCTATTTCCCGCACTTCAAACATCGTATATGTCATTGATTGTAATGATTGTTCAAGCTGTTATGTTGGAGAAACCTCACATTTTCTCTCAAAAGAATACGCCAACACGAACTTAATAGTTTGAACAGAAAACAAAATAAAACCATGATCACCGAGCATGTCTCCAAATTTAAACATTCTTTTAATTTCACCAATCCAAGAGTTATTCATCGTGAATCTAACATTTTACGCAGGAAGTTCGCTGAGAGTATTTTCATACAAATATTACCTTCTATTAACAAACGATTTGATTCGGCTTCTCTTTGCAATATTTACCGCGATGCTTTAAATAATTTTTTCAATATGCGTAATACATCCTAACATTTCTTTTATGTATTCTACATATTCTTTGTGTATGCATATATGTGTATGTGTATGTGTATACATATATTACATTTATTTTTTGCGTTTATATATACATATATATGTTATGTTATAATTTTTTATGTAACTTTTATCGTTCCATAACTATTATCGTTTTTCTGTTAATATCTATACTTTTTCTTAATAATTTTCTCTTCATTCACATATTTTTGGGATTTGATTATGGATGTCTTGCACATGTAAAAATTTTTTACTATGTTCCTACTGCGCATGATCGTTGAGAAAATCTTCGTAATATGGAACCACCAAAATTCTCTCTATCCCGTTCTCTCACCAATGACGATACAGTTTCCAGTATTTTCCGCAAACACGTTCGCACACATTTACTCTCGTACACACTCGTAATACAACTTCCAAACTAACAACATATTCGTTTGGAATAAGCTTTTTTATAATAAAATATATCATTCATTTTAATTTTACAATTTTTTAAAATTTTTCATAACTCGACGTTTCATCAATTTTTATTTCACTTTTATTTATTTTCGTGCAATTTTGTGTTTTTGTGTTTTTTTTCAAAGTTTATTTGTATGGTGAGTTTCTTTGCATTGTTTATTTTATGGTTGTTTTTCATATATACTTTTCATATACATTTTTTTTACTTATTTTTGTCTGTTAATTATGTATTTTTTTATATTGTTTTAATTTGTAACCCTGAATTATTTAATTGTAGCACTGAAGATGGGTCAAATCCAGACCCGAAACGTATGTTCTCTATAAATAAAAACATTTTTCATTAAAACTGTTTTTTAATTACTGGATGGATGCCCAAGAAACAATTTTATATATAATATATATATAAT